CCCCAAAACCCCAAAACCCCAAAACCCCAAAACCCCATTTAAAAAATCATAAGTTGAATTTTATAGAAAATGTACAAAGACGAACAAGCTAAGGCTCAATTTGAGTACCAAGATGAGGTATGCCAAATTTCACCAAGATTCTTCCCCCTCTGTTTCATATTTGGATTTCTGTGTTATTTTGAAACCTGAGACTAAACCTTTTTAGGATGTACCCTCAGAGGATATTTCGACACAAAGTGCTGATAACAGTCCGTGCTTTAAGGTATGAATATCCTAGCTAATTTTATAGTCAGGGAAATTCATAAACCAGGTCAATGAGCTTAGCCCGAATACCAGCTTTATGGCTGAGAATAAGGGAGTTGTGAAAGACAAGAGAGCATTTATGGCTGAACTCGAACTCATCAGCCAAAGGTCTAAGTTAGCTAAACAAAGCAACTCGATGCTTGAGAGTGAGGCTAGAAGCCTTCTTGTCGTTTCAGAAATGCATATGACTAGAAAGTAAGCAAAACGGTTCGGTTTTAGAAAATGTTCATCAGGATTTTATCTCAATCTCATTCACTAATCTTAATGAATTTTCGGAATTTTGAGACTTTTGTAAATATTTTAGCAAATTTTGTAGAAGAAGGCTTAACAGCTACCAAGCAGTTAGTGTTTGCTCTCGAAGATGTTGGTTATAGATTTGGACAGTAATTCACATCTTAAAGAAGGATGCTCTACTTACTGATAAAAGTGTAGACGATTAGTTACAATCCAGCACGAGATTTCCACCAATCGAACAATTTTTCGATTCCGTTCACTAATTCACAATTTCTTGCATTCTGTTACAGCTTTTTTAATTGAAGGGAGATTAATCTGTAAATAGAAATAAAAGTACAATGGAAGTGCCTCCAATGATACACAAGAGCTTGGTTGCTAAAAACCTATTCAGGGGAGGAGAATCTAGCGATAACATAATAGAAACGATCTCGATGGGGGATATACTCCCACCAAGGTCCCATAAGAGAGTCTAAATTCCTTCATCAATTCTGAGGGTGTATAGGATTGCTGACTTTAGCAGTGATCGAATCTAAATTAACACATAAACTTCTTCCAGCATTGAAAAGTTTAAATTTAAGCTGCGCTTGATTGTAACTGTTTGCTTTCAACTAGTTGGGAGTATCACGGGGTTTTGGGGTTTTGGGGTTTTGGGGTTTTGGGGTTTTGGGG